CTCCTTTTTGGTCCACCTCTACCGCTGAAGGCAGGCCACTCAGCTGAAGCTCCTTCTTGGACATTTTTCAATCATTCCATTACTCCCAAAACAGAAGAATACTCAGAGGAGAGAGCCTGCCACAACTCTGCTTGCTCATTTAACCAGAGTCAAGACATACAAAAGAAATTGTATCTGAGGCCTCCACCCCTGTTGAGTGAGGGATTTTCTATATGCATATATATATATAATCTGTCTCCTATTTATCATGCTGCCCTGTCATCCTCCCCAGAAAGATCAGGACCACACCCACCAGAAAGACCACTGTTAACGACTTAATAACTCATAATAATCCAGATAACCTCACCTGGATGACTGAGAATTTTGACAGATAAAGAGATAAGTTCTTTGAGGACAGGTACAGGTTGAGAGGCAAGAGTGAAATGGGTTCCCCATTTTAATTCAGGCAAAAACAAAGGTTGTTTCAATTGTAAGTGGTTTAGGAGATTGTGTGTGTGTGTGTGTGTGTGTGTGTGTGTGAGAGAGAGAGAGAGAGAGAGAATTGGCAGAAGTGTCACAGAGGCACTGACAGCTATCAGACGGTGGCCCACTTCAGGCCATTGCTTGACAGATGGCTGTTTCTCCGCTGAAACATCTGTGCAGGCTTTGAAGAGGTATAATCTCAGACCAACACGACAGACCCAGCTTTTGCCACAAGCTACTCTTTTTGCTATTTTGTGCTTCCAACCTTGGGATTTTCTTGAGGAAGCCTGTTATTTTCTTCCTGACAACCAGGCATCACACAGAACATGTACTAGGGCTTAGCAGGAGAGGCATTTGCCTCTGCCCATTTTGAAAAGGCTATTAGGCTGCAAACTGATGAGAAAGTCAGTCCCATCGAAGTCAGTTGGTGGGAGTGTATGGAATGAGGCCACGGATCTCTAAACACGCTGGCCATTTCAGTCCTTTCCCCCCTTATTCAGAAGCTATACTGTGTCTGAAGCTTCAGGTGAATTCTCCCCCTACCTGCCGAGATGGATTAGATTCTCCAATACTTATATATCAGATTGGAAATATTCAATTAATTAATTACATGCCATCAAGCTGATAATGACTTATGGCAACCCTTTTCAGGGTTTTTGCAGATAGAGAAAACACAACAGTGGTTTACCATTCCCTTCTTCTGGGAGTGCCCTGGGGTTATACAGCTTGCCCAAAGCCACGTGGGTTAGCTCTATTCATGATTCTCCAATACTTATATATCAGATTGGAAATATTCAATTAATTAATTACATGCCATCAAGCTGATAATGACTTATGGCAACCCTTTTCAGGGTTTTTGCAGATAGAGAAAACACAACAGTGGTTTACCATTCCCTTCTTCTGGGAGTGCCCTGGGGCTATACAGCTTGCCCAAAGCCACGTGGGCTAGCTCTATTCATAGGAGGCATAGTGGGGAATCAAACTTCCAAATTCTGGCTCCACAGCCGGATACCCAGGCCACTGAGCTATCCAGCCAGCTGATTGGAAGTAAGCTAGCCTATTTTTCATCTCCACTCCCAAGATCCAAAAACTGGCCCTTCACTGTCTTCAAGACTAGAATTCAGGAAGACAATTTATATTAGTTGATTGCATGAACGAAGATCCATTTTAAGGGATTGTGGTCTCTGTTTAGTACCCTAAGTTAAAACCCATGTTATTGTTGTAACTATTCCTAGAAGTGCTGATAGATTGGAAAAGAACTGTAGGGATGTGATTTTCAGAATTCAAGAACTCCCAGCTGCATAATTTGGTGGGGGACATCCCTCCGATTCAAATTATGGAACGGGGAGTTCTCAGACTAGCAGAAGGTAGAACAGTCCCCTCACCTCTATGCTGTTCCTACGCCCCTTCTTCAAATTGTCAGGGAAGTGCCTCACTGCACTGTGGGACTCAGGAGGATTCTTTTTGATTTGCAAAAGTGCATGGGAGGGGGGGGAATGGGTTCTGAAGGAGGCAGCCTCCCCTAAGGCAGAGGGGTACTTTTCTAACAGTTTGAAGAAGCCGTGTAGGAATGGTATGAAGGTGAGTGGACTAGTCCACCTCCTGCCAGTTTGAGGGCTTCTGGACTCCCAATTATGGAACCGGCAGTCCTAGAATTCTGAAAATCCCCAAAACGTATGGCTTAATGGAGAGTGAGACAGAGAAAGAGCTGAACCCATGCAAAGTGAGTGATCATTCTGGGGAAATTAAAAAAAAATCTCTTGAGGTAAGGTGACCAAACGAGAAGGCTTTTCCTTAACTAGCAACCCCCACCCGAAAAGGTGTTTATGCTGCATCTCAGCAACTTGCAGGAAGAGCTGAAAGTGCTGTTCTAATTACTTGGAATGTTTGGCAGGGGAGGTGGGACGCATGCCACCCATGTTTGCTTGCCTGGACATTTATAACTTGCAGCTGTGCTCTCCAGGACTAATCACACTGTGGTCAACCAGTGGAGTCCCATGAACGGGTAATAATCTTTTTGTCATTGACTGGCCCTCACTCAGGCTGGCCCCATCTTTGCTGTCCTTCTGCGGGCTGACAAAGACCTTTTTCTTCAGGCGAGCTTTGCCTCAGTGACTGAGTGGAATTTTTTATAAAATGGATTGCAGTCCCTTGCTGGTTTGATTGTGTTTTTAGTGTTGCTTTTGTTTACCATTTCACAGAATGGCATTTGTTCCTTTTTAATATTTGTATACTTATTGCTTTTAGCTTTAAATATGTTCTATAATGATGTAAGCTGCCTACCCTTGGAGGAGGGGTCATAAGATATTTTAAATAAAATAATACAATTATTTTTTTTCATTTTATTCTCCAGCAACAAAATAGGGTTTGAAAGAAACAAGTGTATCCTTTAATAATCAGCCATAGTTTTCTGGAATTTTCCCATTTAGCAGATTGCTCTACTGATTAAAACTGGCTGAAGTTTTCAGCTCTGTTGAGAGATGTTTACTTCCCTCATGGTCTAGTTGATATAATCTGCTAGATTTTCCATGTCTGTTTCCTCCAGGATGTGCTTTACTCTTCTTTAAAAGGAAAAAAGAAGAACAAGCAAATCTGGATACTATATCCAAATATGAGAAATGGCATTGGTGTGCTGTTGCTTTGATTTCAGTTTTCTATTTGTATATAGAAATTTTCTTTTATTTAAGCCAAATTCCAGATAAGTTAAGTAAGTATATAGCACAATAAGTTCTACTGTGGTGAGCTGCTTAGCTACTAATGTAATGCTTAGCAACCAGTAGGTGACCATCTGCTGTCTTATAAGAATTGAGGAAGGTGAAAGGCCTTAGATCTGCATGCAGCCTGTTCTTGGTAATTCGGTGAAGGAAGAATGTGATGTTGGCAACAGGAGGAAATTTTGGGCTGGGGAATCAGAAGAACTAAGATGCCTGAGGTGGTGATCAAGGAGAAGAGAATAACCTGGATAGCTCAGTAGTTTAGGTCTCTGGCTGCATAGCCAGAGGTTGGGAGTTCAATTCCCCACTGGGCGTCCTTGACAAGGGCTGGACTTGATGATTCATAGTGTCCATTCTAGCTCTGCAGTTCTAAGATAATAATGATGATAAGCTCTTTGAGGGATGTGCAAGAGGATCCCAAGAGACAAAGAACCTAATGATGGGCTAGATGCAGTGATTCACTGAGCAGGCCCTGGAAGTGGAGGAGACCCAGCTTCAAAACTGTGGCTTCTTGGCAGGGCTTTACATATGCAATAGATGTGGGATGCATGGTGTGTTTGCTGCCAAAAGCAGACCTTTTGAACAATTATGTCTAATCGGAGTTTGGAAGCATTAGTTATAGTATCCATGTGTCTATGTTAAATCATTAAGTCTCAGAATGCTTTGTGTGTGTGTGTGTGAGAGAGAGAGAGAGAGAGAGAGAGAGAGAGAGAGAGAGAGAGAGAGAGAGAGAGAGAGAGAGAGAGAGAGAGAGAGAGAGAGAGAGAGAGAGAGAGAGAGAGAGAGAGAGAGAGAGAGAGAGAGAGAGAGAGAGAGAGAGAGAGAGAGAGAGAGAGAGAGAGTGAGAGAATTAGTCAGATCTTTAAATAATGAACTTCAAAATATCACTGAGAACTGCTAAAAATGGCCAGAAGTAAACATGCTGGGGATACATTAAATTAGTTTTGTTTGCCATTTTGATGATTAAAATACTTTTTAATTCATTGCTGAAAACTTAAATGACTTAAGATAACAAATTAATTTTCAACCCTTTATTCCCAACCTCTGAGCATAATTAGCTTATTTACTTTGTTTTAAATATCTGGGCAACTTTACAGATCACACTTTTTAGTGTACATAGCACAACAACAACAAAAGAATGCTGGAATACCTTTGTCCCCCAAGGGCTTTTGTCAGGGACCTGGGATTTGTTATAGATCCCTGTTGATTATACAGCAAACAAAGAGTGGTTCCTTTGTAATATGTGAAATGGCCCTTGGAGAGTGAAATTTAACACATGCTGGAAATGTATTTATTTCTAACAACACACTGGTGCCCAATTTGAACAGCATCCCCCCCCAAAAAAAAACAACCCTCCTGTTCAGACAAATGGCTCATGCATGTGAGCTGTGTAACATTTCAATGGCATACTCATGTAATGTAATGGCACTGTTTTTTTAGGAATGAACAACCACTTGTTCAAATCTTCTCTTAATGAAAAGAAAATTGCTGTCTTATGAAACAATTAGAAGATGCGCCCCAAAAGGCTGATTTTGAGTGTCAGAAACTGAAGTTCAGATCACTGCTTAGTAGAACCCCCTGGCTAGAGATTCTGTAGTTATCATACCTAAAAAAGTACAGTTTTCAACATCTGCTGCTAGGATATAAAGCACGCACATGGAGTGGTCTTGGGAAGCACACAGTTCTCTGCCTACCCCTATTACATATAGTTGCTGTGCTGCTAAAACATTGCTCTGGACAATGTAGAAAGAGGGCATGGTGGAAATGAAAAAAATGCTAAAAATAATAATAAAACCCCTTTTGTTCTACTCTTTTCCTTACCAGAAAGAATCTGAGGAAGTAACTAGACAAGACACCTTTTTCTTCAAGTGTTGCATCGTGTTGGCATCTTACCAGCAGGATCAAGTGTGAGGCTCCAGTCAGACGAGCAGTTTTTGCTCCTAAATGCTGAGCTGCCTAAAGGTAAAATGGTTAACTTCTGTTGTGAAGAATTGAGTCTTGGAATCTGGAGTTACCTCTGTTCTGCCTCTTGTGCATACAAATGTACTTTTATTTTTGAGTGTGAGGGTCTGTTTTTATAGGAATACTACTGTTGGCAACTCTTACTAGCATTCTTCTTGTTGTTCCTTTCCTACTGGAGTTTAGCCATCATCGTGGTGGTTCCGACAAATCTGTTTATAAGCGCTATTCAACTCAACTATTCTGGGTGATTGTAATCAGTGTCTTTTTGGGACTCATGAAACTCTTTGTTTTCCAGAGTAACATTTGTAATGTATATTGGAATGACTTTTGACCTGCCAAACTATGGTAGAAGTATATACAAACTGGAATTGCACCAATAATAGCTCAGTCAGAAATGATGACTTTGAGATCTTTTGACAGGTCCTCCTCAATGGATTTCCTTAAACATCATGAGCTAAACTAGACAATTTGTTTCTTCTCCCTTCGTCTTCTTCACATACAGTTTCCTTCCTCTGTTAAGCTTCTGATTCTGTCCACGTGCCCAAGAAAGAATAAAGAAAAGAAGGGACTGCATAATCAGAGTTTGCCACAATTCATTTTGGTAAAGCGAGCTATAATTTGTCACCATGTCTGAACTGACCCTGAGCACCAAGGAATGTTATCAGCAAAAATTTGGGAAGGAGTGTCTTTGTGATACTTCTGTTAATAACTGAGAATGGTTTAGGTATCAGTCTGAACATTATTTATGACCATCACTCACATTTTACTTGTGAAGTACTAGAGTTTTTTTTTTGACTGGGCAATGGCCAGAATGCAGGGTTAGAGTAAGTTTCTGTAATTTTATTAGTGAGAGCTAATGTAGCTAAATAGAGGCTGAACGTCTGTTCATTTGTGGAAGACAAGTGGTAGATATTTAGTATGAATTTACTACAGGAGACTAAAGTAGCATTTAGCAGGAGAAAATTCTTTGGCTAAGGTGATTAAAGGCCTACTTCTGCTAGCAACAGAACATGCTAAATAAGAGCACCTTTTGGTTGTGCGTGCGTGTGTGTGTGTGTGCGCGCGTGCGTGCGTGCGTGCGTGCACATATATATTTATATATAATTCCTCTGCCTGGATCTGTGAGGTATCTTTCAGGAACCAGCCCACAAAAGGGTAAGCAAGAGCTAGCTCCTGTGGTTTAGCATTAAGTCATCTTCATGCTTGGGTGGAGGGGACTGGATGCAAGCCCACAGATGGTTTTAAGGCAACCCTTCCCTTTATCTCCCTATTGCTTCCAAGTTACCTCGAAGCCACAGATGATGGTTGCTAGGCAACTGCCCGCAAGCTTTCTCCAGCTTCTGGTATAATGATTAGACCAGCTGTCTGTTTAGGAGGAAGGTCTGCAGAGGATGAGGTGAATGTTGGCTTAACCTGCTGACCACCCTTCCTTCCAAATGTGAGAGTCTGATGGTCAGCTCATTGGGAGTTCCTAGGCTACAACACATTTCCCTTGCCTGGGAGCACAGAACACTGGGCACTGGAGTACCTTTTTGAGTCTCTCAAATAATTGAAGTTTTTTTGCCAAACTGAAGGAGAGTGTTTAAAAAAAAACCATCCCCTCCAATTTTATATAGTTGTTACTGTGGTTGCCAAGCATATTCACCTGCTGATATAATTGTGAAAGAGGAGATCTGACCTTGTAATTACTGATTAGCAATGTGACAATTGACACATTGATAAACAATCCCTACTATTACAGTGTAGTACTTACTCCAGGAGTAGCTTCTATAGCATGTTTCACGTGTTTTATTAATTACAATGATAAATATCCTTAAAGTACCCACCAATGAGTTTAAAACACACTGTATATCTATGGGAATTAAGAATCGACAGAAGTGACAGGTCCCCATCTGTTGCAAAAGGAGCTTTGTATCAGCCTGGTGCTTATATCCAATCAAAATGCAAGAAAAGAAGAATTGTTTGATTTTTAAGGTTAAATGAAGCTATGCTGCTGCATAGCATGTTTTATGTATAATATCTGAGGCTCATGGGTTAGCTTGCCCTGTAATCACCCTTTCTTTGCTCTAGCCCTCTATGCAGTTATTAGGGCAATCAACCAGTTAGATAATTTAGTTGAGTAATCACATCCTTTTTAGCTGATTAATAGATGAGTTCATTCCTTTAAAATGTAAACAACTTGCAATATAGATCCCTTTATATTGCAAAAAAAAGTGGGTTTCCAGTCTAGCCAATTTCCCTTCATTTGTTTGATGGAAAGGCTACTTTTAGTATTTTTGGATTAATATCCTATTGAAGTAAAACACCAAAATGGGGAAGTATCATCAATGTGGAAAAAAGGTTAAACTCTATCTCACAGGTCTGAATTAGCCTCAATGAGTGGTAATCAATTAGAACTTCAGTTGATTGATCTGTCAGTGAAGTTCTTGTCTGTATGTATTAGGACTGTCATGCTGTACTTCGGTGGAATTGAGCCCTGTTGAACTTTGAGAATTTTACTTCTGGGCTTTCTTATGAGTTCATATGTACAGAAATGCACTGGGGTTAATCAGAGGTAGGATATTGAAATTAGGCTGTGGCTACATGATCAAATACCATGAGATTTGCTGTGGTTATAGGACAGACCAATTTGAAGTATGTGGTATGTGGTATTCTGTGCATGTTAAGAAGAACTGGAACACTGTCACCTTTTCCGGAACACTGTACAACCCTTTCGAAACCAAGCAGCTTCCCAGTAAGCCATAAAAGGACTGGCAGCAGTGCATTGAGTGTGAACACTGAACGCGTGAATCAGTCTGCAGCCCCTGTGTGACCACTGACTGTGAATTCAGCCAAAATACAAGCTGCAAAGCAAATTGCATGTGTAGTGGCAGCCTTTGTTTAGGATTCTTAATAACTGGCTCTTGACAGAAATCCATAGAAGTTTCATTTCCAAATATAGTATTACAAACTGTAGGAGGTTGCATTACCCAGTGGTTGACACAGGGGAGGTTGTAGTAGCCAGTGGTTGACACAGGGGAGCAAAAATGAGGTAAGAGAAGGGTTAATATGTACACCTAAAACATGTTAGTATTTCTTGTATGTATAAACAAAGCCAGAATGGAAGCTTTGTTTGACTTAATCTCTTATAACCTTGCAGAGAGTTCATTTTCAGCCTGATTTTGCAGCCTCTCTGTCATTTCAGAAAGGAACAGAACCACCTATATTTGACTATTAACCATTTCAGAAGGTTCTTAGAATGTTCTTAGAACAGTGATTGGAATCTTTTGTTTTCTTTTTATTTATTAAAAAAAATTCTATTCAAAATAACTTGCAGTATATTTGAAAAAGTCAACTTCTAAACAGAAAGCAAAGTATTTAAAAAAAGGTTAAAAGAAGAAGAGGTTAAGAGCCAGAAGCACAACAAACAAAATACAAAATTGGGGGACCAGTACATTTTGTTTCAACCTCAGAAGCTTTCAGGAAAAGGGGGCTTAGCAAAGCAGTGGAACCACTGACTAGCTAAATGTTTTTTTATTATTATTATTATTTTGTTCTATTTTCTCTTCTCCCTTTTCTCATGGGAATCTAGTTTTTATATGATATGATCACCTTAGGAAGAGTCATGCCTGACAATCCTTCTGTATATGTTCATTTCTTCTAAATAAAAGTTTCCCAAACCTATGTTTGCTAAATATATTTTCTTACTTTTTCTGCAAAGGAGAGACATTTTTCAGAGCCAATTGCAAATTGGCTGTCTGCTTATTAATATGTTGATATTTAGTAAAGTAAATACTGCCTGCTATTTGTTTAGATTGGCTAGATTTTTAGCTGTTCATTTGTAGTGAGTAATTACAATTGGGGCTCTCAGGCTCTTGCAGCTTTCTTTGTACAATCTGTACTTCAAAGAAGACAAAGATCACGTTTCTGCAGAAAGAAATGAGATATTTTAAAGCATTTGGTTATGTTTGTGCATTCCCTCATAGAAATAAATATTTTAAGAAAAGTACAAAAGAAATCTGTGGAGGGTTTAGATCAGTTGTGTAAGGAATACATCTTAAAAGTACTGAAGTTAGTGAAAATGTCACCTGGATTGCAGGATGCACAAGAGAGTAAGGTCAATTAAGAAATGCTTTTGTAAATTTGAGATAGTTTGGGAATTAATTTGATGGCACATTTGATGATGATGATGATGATGATGATGATGATGATGATGATGATGATGATGATGATGATGATGATGATGAAAGAACTGGAAGAAGCTTCTCAGGCATAGGTTTGTAGTCAGCACATAGGTTAGCTGGAGTGCCAGTATTAGAAAAGGGGGAAAGGGCTGTAGGTCTCTAATTCCATGATTCTAAATTTCAGTTTCTAAAACAGCTTCCCAGCAAGTCCAATTGCCATAGCAATAATTCCTCGACAGCCTCCAGATCAAATTAGCAACAAACAATCTGGGCAGCACCTTAAAGAGAGCCAGATCTGGCCCAGATGTTGCCAATTCTGGACCTTAGGTTGTAATTCAAATAGATGGTCCCAAATAGAATCAGTGGGACTTGTGTTATGGTTGATATGCCCTGTCTCACTGATTTAGTGGGTGGGTCTAATTAAATTGGAATCAGCAGGTGCATTTAACCCACAATATATGGAGTCCTGCCATTCCTAGGTTGGTCCTTGGTCCTGGGTTAGTCCT